TTTTGAGAAACGATGTACAAATGCGCTTTACACAATTGATGTGTGTATGGATTGGGATAACAGTTGTATGAGCCCCTAATAAAATGTTAAAAAAAATTTTTTTTAATTAAAAAATAAATTAAAAAAAGTTAAAAAAAAGAAAATTGAAAAAAAAAAAAAAAGATTCTTCAACACTTAGAAAACTCACATCAAAATCACTCCTGGCAAAACAATTTTTCCGAGAAGAGATTACTAGTGACACCTGGCACACCCAGGAGGTCAGTATCCCTGTCAAGTGAAAAGCCAAAACGTGTGTTTTAAAAAAGGAGAGAAAGTAAACGTATATTAGAGTGGAATCACTATACCTATATATTACACCTCTATATAATGCCTTTAGAACCTGTGCAGGGGTCTGCTAGCGTCATTTCTTATTGAAAACAAGGAACCCCAAAGCAGTAGCAATGTCTGGTAGCCAGAACTTCCTTGATCCCTTCCTGTTATGTCTGGCAACGTACTGTGCTTCATCTGCACGCGTGTTTTACACCACCCATGTCATGTAACTTTAATGCAGAAATAATGGAGACTAACTCTTATGAGACAACATAAAACCTCGTTTGCTTCTCTTTTTCCACACGTAAAAGCAGAACTACTTATCTGCAATACAGCCTGAACAGTCAGGCCAAGAAAATGGATCAGTCTTTGAAATATGAAGCCTTGTGTGTATGTTGGACCTAAGTGGCAACAAATTATTTTCTTGCCTACTAGGTGAGGTGGATTATTCAACTCTACTCCCAAAAGCTTGATTAAAATTTTAAAATAGATAATAAGTCATTATTAAGACCAGCTTTAGCCTTTAATTGGAATACTAAAATTCCGTGCAGTTGTGATTTTTTCAAAATGTTTAAACAAATCATTTAAGTGATAATATGGTACTTTATAAAATGTCCAAAATCTTATTAAGTCCATGACAGTATTAATTATTAACACCAGGTTATTTTTAATGTCCCAACTTCAAATTTGACAAGCGTGTTATGAAGTTAGATGTGTACTTCTATATAACTAATTCTCATCTGAATGCATTTTTACCTCCCAGAAATCAAGATGATACATACTGTGTATCTCACATTGCTGAAATCACTGAATTAATGTGAATAAACACTGCCATAGCTTTTAAGGCATTTTACTTTTTATTTCATTTTTATTAGCTAATGCTGTCATCTAAATTTATTTTCAAATAGCTCATAACCAGACCAAAATAAACCCAACACATTATTTTTTCCCATGAGTCTATGTGTCAAAAAAAATACAACCCCCCCTGTTGGTGAGTTCACTGTGACTGACAGAGACCCTACTTGACAGAGTAAATCTGCCATGAAGTTTCCTACGCTGCAGTCTTAGCAGATCACAAGTCTTTTCTTCCTCAGAGCCCCAGTGCGGTCTCAAGCAGCCAACCAACTTTTCAGTCAGCCGCTGAGTGCTGTAACGGCTGTGCCACCAGGGCTACTTTATTCTGTGTCTAGAGGCCGGGAATCAAAGAGATGCTCTTTGAAGAGTTGCTTTGTACCCAAATTCCTGGCAGATACACATGATTAATGGGTTTGCCTGCTAATCACAAAGTTGGGGGTTCAAGCCCACGCAGAGGTACCTTAGGGGAAGGTGTGTGAGTTCATTTCTAAACTATCACCCATTGAGAACCCTAGGGAGCACAGGTCGACTCTGACATTAGAAGACCCCATGAGTTGGGATCAACTCACCAGCAGCTAGGAAGCTGTATACCCTGACAGTGAACTGGTCACTGCACATTTATAGATAGTGTTTGATCCCTTCAGTTCAAGAGCTTAAAATCACCTTGGTGAGCCGATGGGACAAACCGGATGAAATTCCTATTGTGATAAGTATTATGACAGAGAAGTAAACAAAGAGAATAGGACACACACAATGAGTAACAAAACTGACTGAGGTTAGTTCAATGACAAAATAAAAGGAATAAAATAAAAGGAATGCGCCCAGAGAGGAAATGTATGGAGCATTCTTATCAGAGAGAGGTGTATTTGTTAGGGAATGTAGAAAACAAACTATGTAGAATTCAACGGCCTTTTTTTAATTGATCTTAAGTAATACTGTTTATGTGTTCAGCTGCTAACTGCAGGGTTAGCAGTTCAAAACCACCAGCTACGCTGCAAAGACGGGGTTTTCTACTCCCACAGTGGTAGCGGGTCTCTATGAGTTAGCATTGACCTAAAGTTTGGCGTTTCATCTTTGAAGTAAAGTTAGGAAAGATAGCATACAATGAATGACAGAATATGTTCTCAATGGCACCTTTGGCTTTTTGCAAGTCATTCCGTTCTGATTCCTAGCTTCACTTTGTCCCCTGACTCTGAGCAAACTAATACTGAAACATGTATTAGAAAAAACATGTGTAGAAAAAAAATCTATCACTCTTTGCGTAACAGGGTCAAGATATTGTAACATCCTAAAAAAAGTTTTATAGATAAAACAACAGTACATTAGAAACCGTTTATTCACAGTACGATATCAATTCAATTTTCTGATAAAATTTTCCTTGTATCAACATTCTTTTTTTTTTCTACATTATCTTTTCACTTACCATCAGGATTTCGATCTATCCATCATAAACGAAGCAAAGTGGGTAAGGGAGAGAGAATGCAAGACAATAAATGATCTGTGATGAAGTTACAACACGATTTAACATATCTATTTTCAAATATAGATTACATTTTTCAAGAACACATGAATTAATTATTTAAATGCTACCTGGATCAAACACAAGTTAACCCAATTCACAATTTAAAAGTAACATGGAAATAAAATCTATCGATATATTTACGTACCCATTTTCAGAAGATCCCTTTCATAATAGTGTGTTACTCGAGTTAAATGTAACAAGAGAGAAAAAGGTCATTTGACCTAGCTTAGCCGCAAGAAGCCCTAATAGTAATGTGGGTTGGGCCCTGGGCAGTTTTGATCTGCCAACCATTCTGTGGAGGAAAGTTTACATTTTCAGAAACCTGTACAGGTTCGCCAGGTGTCAGAATCGGTTTGATAGTAGTGGATAAGCAAAAATCAGACTCATATGCTAATGACAATAAAGCACTAAATGAATTGGCTAAAAAACAACTAGAAAATAATTTGAGTAAAAGGTGAAATTATAGAATATTAGCATTCCCAGATATTCTTGTTTAAAGTCTTAAAATTTATGCAAATGTTACTATGGGATAATCTTTTTTTTCTCTCTATCTTAGTGTTCTTTAACTTTACAGACAATTATTTTACCTTTAGTTTACTTTGAACCAATGAATGCCTACCATGTGCTGGTTTGGCACTGCCTCATAATCTTTTAAATTCTGTCTACAGAAAAGTATAACATCCAAGTAAGATCTCTGTAACCATAAATTCACAGATGGGTTTAATAGCTCTTTAATGTCTTTTTAAGCTTTTGTTCACTTTCTGTTACCCATTTCTCTATTTTAAAATTGTTTTCAACCAGTATCACTGCTTTTCCTTAAAGGGAAATAAAATAGTCAAATTAAGACATTGGGACAAGATACAACTACATATTGGTATTGTAGCAGAGGCAAAAGGTATAGTAATAGCTATAATGATAAAATGTCCCATTAATAACAAATTATGTGAATATTTTAGTCAATATTTTAAACTTTTTATCTCACAAATCCAAGTGAAAATAACATTAAAAATAGCAATGTTCATTTCAGAATTATTGAACCCAAGTATCTACCATTCCTCAATGCTTTATGGTAAATAAGTACTTTTTATGAAGCCAGCTTTATCCAAGATAATTATACATAATAATATTTATAGAACCCACAGTTTTGAAAATACAGTGGCTACTTCTGGCTCATTTCTTTTCCCTTCTATTTAAAGCAAAATATTTCACAAAGCAGAAATAATAGACTTTTTCAAAGCATGTACAAGTTGTAAACTCACTTAGAGCAGCGGTTCTCAACCGGTGAGCCGCGACCCCTTTGAGGGTCAAATGACCCTTTCACAGGGGTCACCCGATTCAAAACAGTAGCAAAATTATAGTTATGAAGTAGCAACGAGATAATCTTATGGTTGGGGGTCACCACAACATGAGGAACTGTATTAAAGGGTTGTGGCATTAGGAAGGTTGAGAACCACTGACCTAGAACATATATGATTGTCAGAAAATTTACTTACACAAAGAAAACATCCTTTTAACAATTTAAAATGTCATACAAGCAAAGTAGGCATATATGGAGAATAAGACAAAGAATAGGATACTCAGAGATTTTTAAAACTAAGGAAACTACAGGAATATTTTAAAAATACAAATACAAATTTGCTGAAATATGTTATCAGTTATCAGTACATTAAGATGTGTAAACTTTTTAAAGCAATGACTAATTACTCTTATTTTTTAAACAATCAACTTATTATCAGTTTAGTTTCACTCTATAGAACTATAAAATTAGATTCAAGAAAGTTGAGGTCTGCAATAGTCAAATCTCCAATGCACTAAAAATAACTATATAATCTAAAAAAAAGTATATTTAAGAAAAGCAGGCCAAATTTTATATATCTTAAATATCTATTCTTGTATATTTTAGCATTTAAGATTCTAAAGAGTTTAATCATTGAAACCATCTCTGAAACTTTGAATACCTAAATTGTCATCATGGTTTTTCACTAATTCAGACTGGCCCTTTTTTTTTTTCAATCCAAGTCAATTAAATCTCACTAGATGTCAGTCTTCTAGAGGGAATTAAATGTGCTACACCTTGTAAAAATAGAATCAAATATTACAATATATGAAAATCAGTTGAAGAGACACAGCAAAATGCTCATAACACATAGCCATGACGTGGGCATGCAATTTTATTTAAAACTAGAAAGAACATTTTAAAAATTTAATAACGTTTTCTGCTGTGCCTTTTCATCTTAAGCACTTGAGCATTTAACTCAAACCTCCAATAATTTCAACCTCTAATCAAATGGTTGATTAGACTTGTAAATTCACAAACAACTGTATACTTACCTGTTGGTCTTGAATATGAAACAACAACATTTCCTTCCAAGTCAGATGGCATATAACTTCCTTTCAGATAGACAGAAAAGGATGCTGTTCTAGTCATCTCTGGTGCTGTAAGCAATGTCAGAGTCATCAAAGTTAAATAACTTTGACTGCCATTAGCAACAGTTAAAATCTGCGAAGCATTCGTTGCATGTCAGATACTGTCTCCCATGGGGCAGGTACTCCTAATGTGGCTCCCATTTTTTACACATGTGGAAGCTGGACTATAGTCCAACATCACAGAGTTAATATCAGAGCTGGGCACTGAAAGGGTGCCTCACAACTCTTCTGTTCTGCTTTCTTTACTCAGATGAACAGGCAGCATGAGCTGAGAAGCAGGAACACAAGAGGGCAAGTCGATTTGAGGAGAAGATTGCTCTAGCAAGTGGAGGAAAAGAGACTGCAAGGGAAACTGAAGGGTAGGTGCTGGATTTGGATTTAGCTCTGCTGATTTAGCAAATGATGACTGGCCTTCTCTAGTAAAGTAACAGCCTTCAACCTGAATTGAAGATCCATGAGTTATTTCTAACCAGAAATTTGGATTGTTGAGGTTTTTTTAAAAAAATACACTCAACATTATCATGATCAATGGTAGGGAGTCACCTACAAAGCTAAATACTCATTCAATGAGTATTTATTGACTGCCCATTTAGAGAAATTTTTTTTAATTCCTGAGTCTATTTTTAGCAGGGTAGAACATATTAATCTACTATTGATATTGTATGTTTTGTGATTAATCAGTTTTTTGCTTACAAATTTTAGTCAACTCTTGTTGTTTCTTCCCTAAGTATATGGCAGTGGTTTTTTTTAAGCAAGTGTAATATTCTATCAACTTAGAAAAAATACAGGACATTCATCTAACAAGACAAAATGAGAAGGAAGGCCTAAACTTCATGAATAAAAAATAGTACTCCTAAGACAACAGAAAAAGACTCAACAAACCGTATGTACTCGTGTATAAGCCAAGTTTTTCAGCACATCTTTTATACAGTTTTGTGGTAAAATTGGGTGCCTCGGCTGATATCTGGGTGGGCTTATACTCGAGTGTATATGGTAATTCGGAGACCATTTTAACAAGAACTGAGTTAAGGGGTGGAGGTAAGGGAGTCTGTACAAAGATATTTTACTAAAAGTTGCTATTTATGAAGTGTTTACTATTTTAGGCATTTTTATAGATACATTAAATAGAATCATTATCTAACTGAGTCCTTAAAACACCCTTTTTGCATAGTAGGAAAAAACCGGAGGGCTCCAGTGAATAGTAGGGAATTCGTAAGTAGCTTGTCCAAGGTTACACATCGAATTAGAGTCAGAGCCATAACTGTCCAGATACCAAAGCCAATCTTTTCTCAAACCCTCACTGATTCATTAAGCAAGTCAATGAAGACAAACCAAAAAAAGAAAGCCATTCAAATTATAGTCTTGTATTAATTATAGATCTAACTATTTATGGGAAGCATATACTCTTGGTTAACGAATTAAACTCAACAGTTATGGATTGAATGAATGCTCATACTTGGTGAGAAAATGCAAGCAAAACATAACACAGTCTTTGACTTTGGGAAACTCTGGGTCTCACTATTCAGACAGGAAATACAGACCAAAAAATCACCCAGATTAACAATGAAAAATAAATAAAAATTTTAAGCCCAGACCATAATAAACTTTAAGCCAAAATGATGACCTTACCCATCGATTCAAAGGTAAACTGACTGCACGTCACTACTAATGGTGGTTGCACATAAACTGATAATTTAGCTTTCTGCAATGCCAGTCTACTCTGCAGTGTTACCTAAGGAAACAGAAATTGTAATTAATAGAAAATGAAACTTTATCCAAGTTGTTAATATCACAGCTAAAATCACTGGCATATAATTTTAAAAAATCACCAGGACAAAAATACGTAGTCACAAAACATGAAACGTAAGTAGTAGATTAAAAAAAAATTCTAATCAGCTAAAAATGGGCTAAGAAGTTGAATAAACATTTCTACAAACAAGATATGCAAATAACCAATAAGCACATAAAATTATGCTTATTATCATTAGGCTTTATGGAAATGTAAATTACAACCACAATAAGACATCACTGCAGTAGGGTGGCTATCATCAAAAGGGCAGACAATAACAAGTATAAATAACTGATCATTCAAACTAGAAGACCCATACATTGTGGGTGGGAAATTTAAAATGGGACATTCACTGAGGAAAATCGTTTGTCAGTTTCTTAAACAGTTAAACATAAATTTACCACATGACCCCAAAACTCCTCTCCACTCCTAGGTATATGGCCAAGAGGAAAAAAAAATCTCCACACAAAAACTTGTATGCAAATGTTCACAGTAGCATCATTCATAATATGCAAATAACCCAGATGTCCACCGCTGAAACAAAATATATTGTATCCCTACAAAATGAATGGGCACCTCAAAGCTCATCAAAAAAAATCCTATTATATTTTAAGCCCATTTTCCACAAACTTTTTGAAGCCATTTCACATTATTAAGCAACAAAAGAAATGGGGTACTGATACATGTTACAACTTGAATGAACCTTAAAAACATTATTTAAAAGAAGACTCAATCTTTATGGAAGTCGAAAGTCTCATCATTCCCCCTTGGAGCAGTCCGAAGGAGACTGGTGGTGCTAACTGGTAAGTGCTGGGCTGCTAACCAAAAAACTGGCGGTTCACATCCAGCAGCCACGCCGATGGAAAAGGATGAGGTTGTCTGCTCCTGTCAAGATTGAAAAGTTTCAGAAACCCTATATGGAGGTGCCTTGATTCAGAATTGAGCCGGTGGTAGGTTTTCATAGAGACAGAAAGTAGATTAGTAGCTGCTTCAGCCTGAAAGGGGAGCATGTGAGGGATGGAATAGGAAGTGGCAACTCATGGCTATGGATTTCATTAAGGGGTATGAAAATGGTCTCAAATTAGATTATACTGATGGCTACACAGTCTGTGAGTATACTGAAAAGCATTAAATTGTATACTTTAATTGAGTGAATTATATTGTACGATAGGTGAATTATTTCAATAAAGCTGTTCTATCAAACAAAACATGTCATCTGCCCTCATGGCTGCTGTATAACTACATGAAAGATTATATGTATGTTCACTCTTCTTCTCACCTATTATTACAGCATTATAACAAATTATTAATGTTTTCCACTATCCTTTTGTACAAGTTAACTATTCTCTCAAGTTCTTGTTGTTGTTTTTTAACAATGATGTATTTTGGTGTATTTATATTTAGATAAATATAAAACAGTGCATTTTTTTATGGGTAAGACAAAATTACATGACAGCTAATTCTAGGAACTACTTCAAAATAATTAACCACATAACAAAATGTTAATGCTAATACTGACTGTTGCATTTCCAAGCTGGTTACATTTTCAAACTACTGCTCTTGCATGGTGACACAAGAATGCCCTCCCATCCCAATAAGAATCAACAGCTAAGAACTCTGGGTTGGTGATCTGCCTGGGAGAAGGGGAAGGTCTGAGTAGAAAGGACCAGGACGTCTCTTACCCGAGCCCCACTCCCCCAATCGGCATGTCAGCAGAAAGCATAATGCCCAACGATCTTTACTGAGCCACAATGCTAAGGGTGTCATTTTCAGGTTGCCAATGCAAAGGCTTAAAGATCCAACTTTCCTACGGTTTCAGGTCTTTAAAATGCCTCTATTGGATAACTTCACCCCATAGAGTTGGTGAAGATTTTTCACCATCTCCTGCCAGCAAAGGGTTGCTAGAGCAACCAAATCAGAATCTCTGGGGTAGACATAGGCACTGATATTTTTTAATTGGGTTTAATTTTCTATTTGCCTTCTATGGACAAGAGCTGAGAACTATCCTTCCATGGGGTGTCTTGCTAAGAAATACTCCAGTCTAATATACAAGATTCTAGTGTGAGTTGAAATTGTACTGGATGGCAGTGAATATAATAGATATTTCATTATTAGCTGACAAAATATTTGCCCTTGCAAGGACATACTTATTTCTATAAAGGCAGGTTTTTTTCCCCTTTGTGTAAAAGGCACACTTTATTCCTTAATTATATATAGAATTAGATTCAATATGTCTTATATTTTAAGCGATGTGAGTATTCTGTTCAAAATTTAAAAATAAATCAATAGGACAACCATATAAAGACAACTATTTATGCAGATAATGAGCATAAGCACAACAAATGAAGAACTGGGCCTCAATTTCTCACTTTGCAAACACTGGGAATACATGGGAAATGGATATTCAACACGGTTTCCTTAACAAATTCTGACCATTATAGCTGAGATGCTACATTTTTACTAAAACCTTGATGGTACTTATGGGAAGAAAAGCTATGCACATTGTGCAATTTGCTTTCAAATACCTAGGCCATAAGGAAACAAGGCACAATTTCAACATTTTGTTGCTAACAACATAATGCTAGTCTCAGAAAAGTAGTCCCGTGACTTACTGGGTTACTTACTGAACTGCTTAGTCAAAAGGTCAGCAGTTCAAAGCCACAAGAAAAACTGAGCACAAATTGAGGCTGTCTGCTCTTGTGAATATTTACATCCTCCCAAACCCACAGGGGTAGTTCTAATTTATCCTATAGAATCAACTCCACAGCACTGAGCGAGTTGTCAGTCAGTGAGTGAGCAAGCAGTCAGAAGAGAACAGTCTCTGGAAACAGGCAATTGAGCGAGTGAAAGCTGAAGGTCAGTGAACACGAGGAAGATCCTAAATGAGATGGACTCTCGTGCGGTTGTTAACAATGGGCTCAAACAGAACAATTCTGAGGACAGCACAGGACGGGGCAGTGGTTAAGTCTGTGCTACAGACGGTCGTTCTGAGTCCAAAGTGAATGAATGGACAGCACCAAACCTCAACAGCAAACTCAAAACCGAACTCATTGCCATCAAGTCGAAGGTGACTCATACCACCCTAGAGAACAGGGTAGAACTGCCCCTGTGGGTTTCTGAGACTGTAACTCTCTCTTGAGTAGAAAGCTCCATCTTTCAGGAAGGACTAGTGGTTTTGAACTGCTGGCCTTGCAGTTAGCAACGCAATGCATAACCACGACACCACCAGGGATCCTACAACAACAACAACAAAGTAGTCATATATTTTTAAATGACAATTGGTAATATTAATGCTAAAAACCATGAAATGTAGATATATATATATATATCCATTCTAATAAAGGGTTCATGTACATTCTCTTATTTCATCGTCAAAATACTGTAAACAGGTACTACCATCTACATTGTTTTACAGAAGAGAAAACAAGGACTAGGAGAGGCTATGTAATTTGCCCAAGGCCACCCTTGGCCAAAAAAAAAAGAATTAGGATTTACCTGTAGTTTGTAGGACTCCCAAGTCCATATATTTAACTCCACTAAAGTTAAATCTAAAACTAACACTGCAACTGAAGGAGAAAAAAAGGGTCTCCCATTTTACAGTTTAAGAAATAGAGGTTCGGGGGACGGACAACAGAAAAGTGGGTGAAGGGAGACGTCGGACTGGGCAAGATATGACAAAATAATAATTTATAAATTGTCAAGGGCTCATGAGGGAGGGGGGAGTGAGGAGGGAGGGGAAAAAATGAAGACCTGATGCCGGGGGCTTAAGTGGAGAGCAAATGTTTTGAGAATGATGAGGGCAATGAATGTACAAATGTGCTTTATACAATTGATGTATGTATGGATTGTGATGAGTTGTATGAGCCCCTAATAAAATAATTAAATAAAAGAAATAGAGGTTCAGGAAAACTCAGTAACATGCCCAAGACCATAGAGCTAAAAACTGTGACTAGGTTCATGTGACAAGGCTTAGTTTTCAAAGTGCAAGTGAAAAAGCTTTAAGTTAGTAAGATGCTGTTTGTGGAAGAGCTGGCATTCTGACACTGCCAGGCATCACAGTGTCCTCCCAGACAGCAAAGACACAGCCCGACATTGTTTCAAATAAGAACGCTCTGGATTTGGATTAGAGGCACGATCGTGATCTCTCTCATACACAGATTCGTTGAGTCCCGACAATGGGCTAGGCCTTTTGAAAACGTGAATCAAGGAGGTATGTGATAAAAATAACTACAGTAACAAAGAATAGTTGTGTTGAAGCCAAGAAAAGAGGTAAAGACTTGGCTAGATTATAAAAGTCATATTTTAAAAGAAAAAATAATTATAGAATATTAAGGGGAAAATATAAACGTTAACACGAGAATTTTCCATGCGATTTTCCGCTTCTCACAAAATGAAATGTGATCCTTAGGAAACATAATCTTGAGTTTTATGCTAGATAAATAAACATGCCTCCAAAGGCCAGGTAGGAACAAGCACTCTGCCTCGCTGCCTGGAATTGATGGTCTCGCCTCGTGCTCAAGGTAGCCACATCTTCATTCACTGGGAACGGATGGAAAACTTCTCTCAATTAACAGGATTTATTATGATGGAAACTTGCAGGGTTATATATCTTGGCCGTTGTTGTTATAAAAGGCCATAAGGAGAGATTTATAGCTGAAATTTGTATAAGAACTGTCAGATGGAATCAGGAAGTCATTGTGTCTGCTGGGTAAGTCCAGCCGAGTTTTGTGCAACTCTTGTGCGTCGGATTCTTTCTGGTGCATTAAAACGGCAATGAGAAACAGAAACGGGCCTCGGTCATTTTTAAATGTAGCTGATTCCACTCATTGAGGAGCATTTTCCAGGAGGATCAGGACACCCTTCTGAGGTGGCTATTCCATAGGGAAGCCTTAGAATGGTACAGGAGCGATAGGAGTTATTTGTAGCAAATAACTGGTTAGGAAGAAAAATTAGCATAAGCTTAATTATCTGGTTAGATGCAAGATTTCGTTTTTCAATTAACAGGGAACTTCGTTCGGCACCGTTGCATGTCTGTGTCTGAACAATATAATTAGATATGAAAGATGTTTCCCTACACAACATTCTATAGATCATTCCTGGAACTCTGCAGGTATTTTTCTGCTCCCCAACCCCCAAGTGTGTGATTTCTTGCCACGAATGCTTTTCCAGACCCAGAAGTATTAATGAGATAGAGGCTTTGATTGGATAGGGGAAGGGGAACTGGGGAAAGACCACCCTTGTTTCCAGTGGCCAGAATCCAAAAAAATTAGCTGAGGAAACTGTTATAAGATTGGGCTCCCTTCAACTTCTACCAAAGATCTCCACACTTAGGCCACCCGCTGGATCCAGTGTAAGCGAACACAATTGGTAAAGTCTGGTTCCCTGTCAACCTCCTCCAAGGATAGCAACCCATAATCTAAGAAAATATAAAGCCCTGTCCAAGTTTTGACTAAGTGAATCGCCAAAGTCCACAACGTTCCCTGGCTTCCAAGGTCTGGGCAGTGATAACTATTTTCATCTTAATAATGTGCTGACTGATTACCACACTTGAATCTAAATGGCTTAAGAGGGTTCTACATTTGAGTTCTAGTTCTAAAATTCTACAATGACAGGACCAAAAATCTTAACCCAAACCACATCCCTCAAATTCTATTATTCCAGGGCTATCAATTTGTTACTACTCTACTTTGTGGCTTCTTCATTTAATACTTCCTTGCTATAAATATATCCATGTAAAGCTAATGTTATGGCACACAGAAGACCAGGGGTTCTTCTCAAACAAACATATACTCATCTAGATAGAAGATATTACTAGCAGCCATATGATCTTCAATATAACTTTACATATGATTCACAATACGGCAGTTAACTTTTTTATTATGAATACCAAGCACACAATTCCTTTAGCACATTTAAAACCTTAATCATATTTCTAGGGGAAAAAATCCCTTTGCTTATGCTAAGCATTTAAATAAGGGTATAAATAATTTCTAATAAATGCTTACCTTGTATCCATATTGCTATAAACACAGTTATCAGTTTTAGACATATAGTAATTATGTCTAAATAGAGAATATTATCTATTCACTATCCAGGGATAAGCCAAACAGAGTTTTCAAGGGCTTATTTTGCATTTCCATAAGCTACTTAGCAGGTGATCATAGTGCAGATGTGATGAAACATATAATAGTGTTTGTACATTACAGTCTGAAGCCGTGGTACAATACCTTCACTGTGACTGAAGGGACAAGGTCAGTTCCCACTTCAACATCAGAGGCTTGCTGTGAACACCAGAACCGAGAAGAGAGGACAGGAAAGAGTAAGCCAATATTACACATCAGTGAGTGAACACAACAGGTACGATACATACTTCCCACCAAAAAATAGGAAAACTTAACTTGAAAAGGATTTATCACTGTGATGACAGACTGAAAGACTCAATATGACTTTTTTTGGATACCTTCATCAGGAAAGTGATGAGCTAATATTAAAAACAGCCACCCCCTAAAAAGGAAAGCCAAGTTCACATATTTTATGAAACTCATCTATTTCCAAAGTTACTTAAATGTTGAAACTCATTATTCCTATTAACTTGCTCTTTATATTGCATAGAGGAAGGGCACCCATTCTTTTGGGCCCTTGTATTTTCAACTTTACAAAGGTAAGTGTTATTCTGATGGATGACACGTAACGTATGGTACAGAGAATGTGTACGTCCACACTTAGAAAATACAATTCAAGTGAGAGAGAGAGAGAAAGTTTACTAGTGCATATCATAAACTAACTCGGTAAGCTCCTCTGACAATCAGCTTGGGAAGAGTGAGTTTGAAAAATCTCCACTCTAGAATAGGCTAAGACCAAGAAGTAACATTTTCTAATAATGCTCATATGAATTTCCACAAAGTCTCTATCAAATCTGTGAATCTGATCCATTGTGCTTTAAATTAATCGTTTCTTTTTTTTTTTAACTAAGAAAAACTTCAGCCACTTAGAAACAATAAGGATCACTATGACGTAATGAGTCTTGCCAGAAATAAGAGCGGAGAGATTCGTATTTTTTTATAACTCCACAGGCAACAGTATGTGAACTCTGATCCAGCACCTCAACGAGGGAGATCAGATAGCAATTCTTGTTTCCTCTATAAAAGACTTCACCCTAATATAAATTATATTCTCTCTTTTTGAGATATGAGCTTTCATAATAATTATTCAAAATAACATATTAAGCCAGGCTTTATGTTTGAACATTATCTAAAATCCAGGAAATAGTTTACATTTAGCCATCCACACACATCAAGAGGAGAAACCAGCATCTCTTGTTTCCTGCTCTTCTCAACCCATGTCTCAACACCTAGATACTTCAAGAACAGCAGTCCTCTGGGAACATAAAATTATAGCCAGAGAGAAATGGCCCTACGAAGATACCATAGCACCTTAGACACATAAATCATAGAGTTAATGTTTTCCAATGGGATGAAAATGATACTCTCAAGAAATAGCTTAGGAAAAATAGTAAGGCAGGGAAAATGAAGTTGGAAATAGACACCTGGTTGAGAGGAAATAGCACTATGGGTTACCAGAAGGGAAATATACATTAAAGTATAATGCTACTGCATAGTCCTTTCCTACAAAGATGAAATGTTTCTAAAAAAAAAAACAACAGAAAATGAACTCCTCATTCCAAACAGCGTATGATTAAGAGAACCCAGAAAGAATTATATAAGTTGCCCAAAGGAAAAAAATAATCATTCCCCAGGCAAAAAAAAATGTGTGTACATTTGTCAGCTAACTAAGCAAAAAATGTTCCACTCAGGCTACACCCTTCAGGTAGAGTGAGAAATGGTGTGTGCTGAATGGCCAATGTTTAAAACAGTGCTTCTACTATATGACTCCGCTGGGTGAATGTTTCTTTCATATAGAGGTGGGTTTTTTTTCAGTGCGCCCAATTTACTATGCTATGGCAATGGTAACGTGATTTTTATCACAACTCAGGTTGGCTGTTTCTATTAAGATTAATCTTTAAAATACTCATGGCAACCACTTATTATATTATGCTCTGATGCCAAATATTGAGGTCATTTCCCAGACAAAATTATATGATATGAATTCCAAATATAGCAAAACCAGTGAATTCAATCCCATTGCCTAAAGTAATCAAATTTTGGTAGACATACAGATAAACAATAATTTTTTCCCAAATTGTAAGAATGACGTCTCCTTTCACCCACTTTTCTGTTGTCCGTCCCCCAGGGAAGAGGTCACATGTAGATCCTTGTAATTGGTTCCCCCTTTCCAACCCACTCTCCCTCTACCCTCCCAGTATCGCCACTCACACCACTGGTCCTGAAGGGATCATCCGCCCTGGATTCCCTGTGTTTCCAGTTCCGTGTATACCCCCTGGTCTAGCCAGACTTGCAAGGTAGAATTCGGATCATGATAGTGGGGGGCAGAGGAAGCATTTAGGAACTAGAGCAAAGTTGTATTTTTCATCGTTGCTACATAGCACCCTGACTGGCTCGTCTCCTCCCCAAGATCCCTCTGCAAGGGGATGTTCAGTGGCCTACAAATGGGCTTTGGGTCTCCAGTCCACACTCCCCCCATCATTCACTATGGTAAGATTTTTTGTTCTGATGATGCCTGATACCTGATCCCTTCGACACCTTGTGATCGCATAGGCTGGTGTGCTTCTTCCATGTGGGCTTTGTTGCTTCTGATATGATAAAATAATAATTTATAAATTATCAAGGGCTCATAAGGGAGGGGAAAAAGAGGACCTGATGCCAGGGGCTTAAGTGGAGAGCAAATGTTTTGAGAATGATGAGGGCAATGAATGTACAAATATGCTTTACACAATTGATGTATGCATGGATTGTGATAAGAGTTGTATGAGCCCCTAATAAAACGCTTAAAAAATAAATTAATCAAATAAACTAAAAAAATAAATTTTTAAAAATTGTAAGAATGAAATATAACAAAAGAGTACCCAAATAAGTAGTTAAAGAAAAATAAACAAGGGCATGAGGTAATATAACCAAGAACTGTCCCCCTTTCATTCCTCTTGTTTCTCAGTTTATTCATTCATTCTTGGAATAAATATATATTGAGTGTCCACTATGTGACAGGGAACAGAGGATTTGACAGGAAATAGGACAAGTGGTGAGATGTGGGTGGTGACGCTGCTGCTGCTGATGATGATGATGATAATGATGATGAAGATTAAAATGTGTTATGATTATCCTAACAATTCCATCAAAGTAGATTCTAGTATGATGTCCAGTTTACTGAAGAGAATATTGATACTTAGAAACTTAAGTAACTTGTACTGGGCTCCCCAAGAGAGAGCCAAATAGTTGCTGGACCAGTTGTCCACTCTTAAACTAATCCCCTCCTCCACTACCTAACAATGTATTAAAGACTAATTTATCTTTCCTTGTATTAGGTGGTACATAAATATCTGTCAAGGAATCATGAGGAAAAACTCATGAAGCCAGAATTATTCATCTAGATTAGAATTAGCTCAATACTTAGGAAATAAAATTTAAATATTTTAAAATTATTAGCACAAAATAGAATCAGAAGAAAGCAAGAATCTCTTCTGCTTCTGCTCCCTCTTCCTCTCTTTCTGACCCATTTATAAACAGAAATCCTCTCTAAGGGTCGCCTGAGAGATGTTAAGAGGCTAGAAATGCTTTTATCTAGAAAATAATAAATCCTGAAATATCTTACCCACCCAGAAGTTTTCTATTAGGAGGTCCAGAATTTACACTGATTGTTTGGCCCCCGTTCATCAGCGCCCACCACTATCATGTACCTCAGTAAGAGCTCCAAAGACAACTGCAGACACGGAATCCAAAGTGGGTGAAACCACGGCAGACACTGTCAGGTCGTCTTCTCTCTCAGTTATGGGCCAAACACCTGTCATCAAAAAATACATATATAAATAACATATATGCCAACATGAAATAAAATCTGTACCACATAGCTTTTTCTAAGGGTTTGGATATACCATATTGTAAATTTAAAAATAGACCTGCTCACAAGTTGAAAAATCTCATGCAGCACAGAATTAAAAGCTTGAAGCTAATTCTTTTCCTTAGCAATACTGTAAAGGAGAACTGTCATTAAAAAGATTCACATGGGCGTGACACAGGGTTTGATCAAGAGTGGATAATAATACCTCTCCTGCACTACAAATAGAAGTCCAAATTAGCACAAATCATTTGACAATAGTTTGCTGATAACGATCAAAATATAAAAGATACGTATCATCCTGTTACCTAACAATTCTACTATCAAAACGTATGCAATATTCACAAACATGCCTAGGCAATTCAATGTAACACGGTTGCCAGTTGTGTTTAAAAAGTTAAATAAAAACTGAAGACAAACTAAATGGCCATGTATCGCCAAATATGGAAATGGCTAAATTAACTATGGCATATGCATACTGTTTGATGACCCAAAACTATAACTCAAAGTGCTGCCAATGCTTACAGCTTACACACTGATAGAAAAAGAATGCCAAGGCACGCCCATTAATTTTTCAAAAGATGTAAGACAATGTGTCTAATATCCACATAGTGTACTATAAATTAATAACATGAAAATCTCATGAAAATGTAGACTAGTACACAAAAATGTTTGCTAAGAATAACCTTAGAATGGTAGCATTAAGATTTGGGGCTGAAGGGAAATTTATTTTTCATTACTTAGCCTTTTAGAACTGCTTCAATTATTTTTAATACATGCATGGAATTTTCAAAAATTTAAAGATGTTTATGCATGTAATTAGATACTCTGAACAAGTGACGGATACTAACGAAAAAGGAAATATAAATGACATTTACACACGTCTTGGTGTGTATGGCTGCCTACTCAAGAATGGTGCCTCTCTGGGCCTTTTTGGTTGGCAGAGCCCTCGTTTGGTTGAGGTATTCACCTTCAAGTCAGGGGGAATCCCAAGTGGCCAAATTTATCTAATCACGGTGATTCTGTTCTTTACTGTTTTAGACACACATCTGACTGCCTCCTGGCAAATGAGAAGGGAAGCTGGGAGTAGAAGGTGGAAGGATAGATTCTGGGAAAGCTAGCCCTCCCTAACAAAAAGAGAGACTAAAGAGACCTTTCTCTCTTCTTTAGAAACCTTCACACAATGGCTATACCTACGGAGACCATCCTGTTCTTGTGAGAGGAAACAACCCCCACAGGATGAGGATGGCTGACTACACATATGGGAAGTATGGACAGCTTTTGAATAACACCATAAATTGGCTGCCTCACAAAAAGAAGGATCGCCTGTAATTCCCAACAGGCCATCCTACCAAAGGTTGCTCATTCCTCTCCCAATAATCATTCTACAAGTCCTCTTTACGAAAAGAGCCTGCATTTTGTTATGAGGAACAAAGTGCTTAGCTATTAATATGAACTTTTCCAGTTGCTTTTGCAACATGAAGAAGCCAACGTGAAGTTGGTCAGGGAGTGGCTTCCAGGAAAGTGCCTTCACAGGGTTGACTCAGCTACGGATGTGGAGAGAAGACCTCCAGAGGACATCCTGACCATCAGATGACCCACAGCAGGACTTTAGTCTTGGGTGACTGTGCAGCTCGCTAGATGGCCCATCTCTGAACGCCTCTTCCATATTTCTTTTCCATAAGAAATTAACGTCTACCTTATTTAAGCCTTATTTGGCTATTTTGTTATATGCAGCCAAATATAATCCTAAAAGCCACCTCCTTCCATCAAAGTCACCAAGCACAAATGTTTCTAACACTCAACCGTTAGAGCCAACCGAATTACCCCAAACACTATGCACTATAGACTAACCATGTTTATTTATATGTTCCATGTCCTATTCCTGTGTCTCTCTCTTCTTGAACACACAACTGGGTAGGAGTCTCCCTCATCACTGTACCCATTCCTTCATATTCAAACCAAGTAGAAAACAACCGACTGTATAAAGCACATGGCAACACCATCATTGAGTGCCGACCAGCAGATGTTGACTACTGGTAACAAAACTGCTCGGCAGGATTCACGCTAATGAGTAGAATATGAAAACCTTCACACATACATGAGCCATACAGAAATTATTACTATTAATTTCATGCTTAGAGCATACATTCCTCATATAACTTAGACACCTAAAATCAACTTCAAAAAACTTTTATGACAGTAGATAATGTACACCATGTGCACAACAAAATGTATGTTTAAATTGGCTTTAAATTTGTCTGTGACTCTTACTTTGGGAAAAAAAAGTCTTTTAAGTACTGAACATAACTCACAAAACTGTGAACTAGTTTTGCAAGTCTAAGCCACTGTACTAAAATAAGTAACATTGAAATAAGTAATAAAGTCATCACAAAGTGTAGACTTTGAACTTCTCATAATCTCCTGTAATTAAGCAATTTGTACGTTATATAGAATTTGTTGTTCAGTACCTCAGAGTCATTTCTGACTCACAGCAGCCCTGAGTATAATAACAAGAAATACTACCCATGCCAGCACCTTGCTCAGTATTTTAGGTTTTAGAAATAGAGTTTAGTTTGGTTTCAGAATACGAAATATTTTCCATATTGGGAAATAAAATGTTTAAAGACTACTTTTTTGAAAATCTTTTCTGCCTCTTTTTCAGGAATGAAACCAAATGATTGTAGTACGGAAGGGGCAGTGAACGTCCAATACTTCTAATACTGAACTGTTACAGCCACCCGCGTTATCCCAAACATTATGCCCTATGTTAACTGAATGTTAACTGAAATTTGAGGTTATGTAAATAATGAGTTCTGTACCCAAGTCTGTAGGTAAAACCCCAGCTTAATTAGCAGCTATTTCAAGGCACACATAAAGATCAAGATAATGACTAGAAAAACAGCTTTAACCTTCTCACCCAAGGACATCACTATGGCCACCAAAAAATTACTTTTAGCTGTCACCGATTTTCTGAGACATTTCATACACAATTAAGAGTTCATCAAAATATCGTTAGCATGTTGTTTACAGAAAGGGCAAAATCACAAGGCACAAAATCTAGAGTGAAAAATCACATGAACTTTATTTAATGAACTCTAAATATCATGCTTCTCATATGTTTGCTACACTTCCCCAATTATATGGGGGTTTCCCTTTTTTATTTTAAAACAATTTATTACAGTAAATTATACATTATATCCATTTATCACTTTCACCATTTTCAGGGTAAGATTCAGGGGCATTAAGTACATTTACCCTGTTGTATATCCATGGCTGCTATGTATTTCCAGAATTTTTTCATCAGCCAAACAGAAGCTCTAGTCCCACTAAACAATAACTCCCCGTCTTTCCGCCACTCTCTTGTAGCCACTGTTTTGTTTCCATTGATCCCACAAACACTGGTATCAAAAATGGAAGGGGGGGGAATCAGTATGTTGTAATTGTATGCATCCCATTTTAACCATTGCTGTGTTTTATTGTACAGAGTGGCTCTGAATCAGATCCGACTGAAAGACACCCAGCAACAAAAATAGCATCTAACATGGGAGTGATTACAACAGTGATTTCTAAGTATTAGACTACTTACAAGCCCTAAGTTCACTAGTTTACTTGTAGGACATTAAAAAAGAAAGTGTGAAGCCAATGCATATTAATTTTATGTTAATAATCATATTTTAAATTGCGTTATGCACATTTCTCAGGATCAGAGGAATGCGATCTTGGTAACATAGACAGAAATATGTAGATTTAGTCAAGGGACCGAGTCGGGCTTGAGATCAACTATGCTGCCTTGGTGGGCTTTGATGCTCTGCTTCTTTTATTATTCCTACTTTTTTAAACATTTCTTTTTTGTAAAAGTCCTTTTTTTTCTCATTAAAAAAATACTTTTACCTGACCCTGAGAAGGAAACATAAAGTAATGCTTTTCACATGTTTAATTCAAACTGCAGGATTGGTTTCTCTTCTTAATTTACAATAAAATTATACCCCTGTGAATCCCAAAGTAAGATAATATTGAGTTATTCGAAACTCAAGAACTGAAAATATCATCAGCCTCTGAGTCACTTGAAATCAGAACACTGCAAGCTACACTCCATTTGGATGGCTAATTAACTACAAACATAAATTATATCACTGAGCTGTAAATGACTACATTTTTAATAAATGGTAATGTGTACATTGCTTTGGTATGAGGTTTTCTACTCCCATAAAGAGTTACAGTCCTGGAAGCCCATGGGGCAGTTCCACATTGTCCTATATAAGGTCTCTATGAGTCAGAATCCACTTGACAGCAGTGAGTTTGGTTTTTGCTATCACATACAAAGGAACCCCGGTGGCATCATGGGTTGCTGGGCTCCTAGAAACAAGGTCAGTGGTTCAAGCTCACCAGCAACTCCTTGGAAAAAAGATGAGGTTGGCTGTTCTGGTAAAGATTTACAGTCTTGGAAACCCAAAGGAGAAGCTCTCCTCTGAACTATATGATTTCTACGCAGTGGATTAGACTTGATGGACATGTATTAGGTTTTTTGTTTTTATCAAATACAAATTAAGCCCCAAGACCTTGTGTGCTAATCATCACTGTTGTTTTTACATATGTGATTTAAATTAAGTCTATTAAGTCTAAGAAGAAAATTACTACATTGTGCATACATATGACACAGATGTATAAATATAAAGCATTACACATACAAGAAGATAATGTGAATTTTGCAGTGGATACTGATGAAAATCAAATACTAAGAAGCTACATATAAGATACCTTGTGTTTTGTTAACATCTTTGATGATTTTCTGAAGTTCCTTCAATTCCATATCAAGTTCCTCATAGTTTAGTTCTCTAGATTCAACTTTTGGAGCTTGAAACAGAGACGGGTCTGTCCCCAGGTATGAACACTGCAGGTGGCCATCATCACTCAGAGTGACTATTACACCCTTTAAATCACTACACAAAAGAGGAAAAAATGAGAAGTAATTTTAAAATGAGGTGGATTGAGTCTTCACTAAGCATATTTTCACTCAACTCAGCTTTAGTACAGCATTAAAAAAAATTATATATATATATATAGCATTTCCCTTGAAAGAATCAATACAAATGTTTCAACATAATTTATATTTACAAAAGTATTTCCAGTATTCATTACAGGAGTGAGAAGGAGGGGTCCCCTAGCAATTATAGTACCTATCGCTGATTGGAACCTAGGAGTTCCACGGTGGTGCCAACGGTTATCAAACGAAACCACAAGGTTGGAGGCCCAAGACACACACACACACACACGCACACACCCTGAAACACTTCAAAATAAAGGCTTGGTGATCTACTTCTGAAAAATCAGTTAATGAAAACCCTACAGAACCATTTCTACTCTGACTCATAACTTGGAATCAACTCCTCGACAACAGGTTGTATTGGAACCTAAGTAATCCCCTAAAGGTTTCAAGCACTAGACGTTTAATCCTCACTTCGGGTACACTTAGCAGACTGGTAATAAGTATGTGAACAACTCTTATAAGACTGTAATGGATCAAGAGATGAGTCTGGGCTGGTAGTTAGATGAAGAGCAGCGTGCAGGCTGAGAACTTTCTGGGGACAATGCAGGGGGTGAAAGGGCAAAGGCGAGTTGGAAAGTCCTTTAAAGTCAAAAGGAGAACTGTGCCTCGGACCCTGTCCCCCTTCCCTCCCTCTTCTCTCGGTCCTCATCAGGGCTTCCTCCACACACACTCCCCGTCCTGCAGCCTTCCCGCAGCCTTCGGGTTTGTTCTCTTTCTCTGCACTCACACAAGTAGTTCACTGGTTGGCTAAGCACCTCCTTCTCGATCACGTTTTCAATCCTGATAATCTCTTTTCTTCCCCAGCCTTTCATTTATGCCTTCTCTCTTAAGGCTCTCTTGTCTCCATTTTATTCTACAAAGTAGCTGCAGTCTATAATTTATAGAAAATTTTAACTCTCCAAATAAAAAAAATGAAATTCAAGTTTTTCTGAACTTGCCATAAAATGTTGGGATCAACACTTAAATTGCTTCCTCCCAAGAAAGGGAAAAAAAAAAAAAAAACGTCAGCAATGTCACAATTATTTTGAGTGGAAACATGATAGGTTCATTTGTTTGGCTTTGGGGGAGTTTGCTTTCTAATGTCCTTTGGTTTAGAAAACAACAAGAACCATACTTTCTCCTCTGTTCTAAAAGGTAAAGATTAAATAAAAATACTAGAAAAGATCATGGGATGGGAGGAATGGTACTATTCATCTGAAGAAGATAAGTGTGGATACCGTATATAACAGAAGTCTAGGTCTTATTCAAAGAGTCGCGATGGCATAGTGGTTATGCATTGGGCTGTGATCCAAAAGGTCAGCAGTTAAAACCCACCAGCACTTCTCAGCTTCCTATGCCTGTAAATAGTTACAGTCTAGGAAACTCACGGGCCTTTTCTACCTTGTCCTATAGGGGCACTAGGGGTCAACATTTACTCAACGGCACTGAGGAAGAGTTACACCCTCAGAAACTCACAAGGGTAGTTCTAACCTGTCCTATAGGGTCACTATGAGTCAGTGTTGACTTATGGGAGTGGGTTTCAGTTTTGAAGTCCTATTGTTTATTCTAAGAATTTTTAAAACTCCTCAATGCCAAGTCCTTACAAACGATCAGATTATGAACCTTAACACACAGCTCAACTGATTTGAGAGTAATTACTACTCAATCCTTCCCAGGAAGTGGCCACTACCCACCACTTCATCACCTGCCATAACTACACATTCCTATTTACACAAGGGGCATCACTCAGGGACATGGGTGGGTGCGGACCGCACAAGAGACATTGTCAGAAGAGGTTAAAAAAAAAATGCTGCTTTTTTTGTTTGTTTGTTTTTATAAAAAATATCCCTGTAGCCAATTATAACATCAAACACATTTTGTAACCCCAGCTTACATGTGTCAATATACCTACAGGGCTAAAA